ATAGTGTAAAATCACATCTAACGATCGTATGAAGATGCAAATCATTTTTTGAACATGGAAGTAAAAATTGGTACTTTTCAAATGGTGCTATCCTTGTTAGTTAGTGCATTAAAACATGTATAATAAAAGGATGGACCACAAGTATACACCCGGACCACAGATTATACTTCTTGTCACACGTCACAAACAGGGTTTTTTGCTTTTGGCGATAAATGAATCAATGTAGTAGAGATAGTAAAGTAAAGATGTACTTACAAGTAAAGATGTACTTACAGGAACCAGCCAGGCTCAGCTGAAACAGCCATAGTGGATTGATTAAGGGTAATACATAATAGAATAATGTAGACTTAAGGTTCGTATAGAAAGGGTATGATGTGGCACAGCGATGCTGCAGCAGTGGCGATGGACGTTGGCGGGAGGGTAAGTTCACCAGCAGCTGGGCAGAAGGAGTGAAAATGGATGGATGGTATAGCCAGTGCCAAGCGCTTCCTCTGCTGTGTGCACTACACTATCACACTTATCGGGAGCTTAGAGCATGGCTGGGGATATGCCCCTCTGGTGAAAGATTACTATTTGGGGAAAGCCCTGTTTGTCGACTTAGGGCGGCGCCGGTTCTCACCATCCAGGAAGAAGATAACCGCCACCTTCCGCGGTGAAACATGCACTGCCCTTACGGAACTAATGACCTTAGGCATTTGCTTACCCGGAATCACTGATCAATCAACCAATCGACCGCAGTTGGCGATGACAATTCTTAGGAGGCTAGGGTCACCAGCAGCTGGGCAAAACCGACAGAGAAAGGATGACATCGCTAGTGCCATATGCTTTCTCAACTGTGTTGCATCGTGGAGGTGCAACAGCGTCTTAAAAGTTGCGAGATTGGCGTTGCCTAAGACGATCGCATCTTATGCCGTGCGATGAGCGCAAGCGCGTCAGCTTAGGTGCGCGAGCGCTTCTCAAACGTGAGAATGGCTGGACGGCATTGCCATGTTCGAGCATATGACATGTGTGTGTGCGTAGGTGTGCAAACGTCTCCGCAAAAGTGAAAATGGCTACGTGGCATTGCCTTGGGCGAGCACATGATGTGCGCGTCTGCTTAGGTGCGCATGCGTCTTGGCCAAAGTGAGAATGGATGGATGGCATTGCCATGTGCTAGCCCACGATGAGCGCGTGCGTAGGCGCGCAAGAGGTTGGTAAAAGTGAATTTGGCACACGATGAACGCGTGCGTGCATGCGTAGGTGCGCGAGCGCTTGGCAAAAGTGAGAATGGCAGGATGGCATTGCCATGTGCTAGCACACGATGAGCGCGTGCGTAGGTGCGCTAGCGCTTGGCAAAGGTGAGAATGGCTGGACGGCATTGCCATGTGCTAGCACACAATGAGCGCGTGTGCGTAGGTGCGCGAGCGGCTGGGCGCATGCGCGCGCGAGGCGCGTCACGACGAGCCCGAGGTGTTCGACGATGTGGTGCAGGCGCCGCGTCTGGCGGCGGAGACGCCGCGCATGGCGGCCGACTGGTACACGCGCCGCCCGCACCTGCTCAACGACGACGGCGAGCCGCGCCTGCACGTCATGCGCGACACGCTCCTGACCTTCCTCGGCGCATACGAGGTACTACCGCCCTCACATCCACTACACTACCGCCACTAAGCGGGCTCTACCGCATCATGAGCCCCACGTCATGCGCGATACGCTCTTAACCTTCTTCGGCGCAAGGCCCCACATCCACACCACCGACACTAAGCCAGCTCAACCGCACCATGAGCCCCACATCTTGCGCGACAGGCTGTTAACCTTCTTGGCGTAAGCGAGGTACTACCATCCCCACTTCCACCACATCACCGCCTTCAAGCGGGCTTAATCGCACCACGTGCACCTCCAACCCCATAACTCCATAAACGCATTAACAACGCCAATTTTTACTCTACCACCGTACTACCAACGCACTAGCTCAATGCACCACCACCATCGCTTCACTCGCTAATTTCCAATCCCCAGCTAATACCTCAAACGTACCACATAACTCCGTACCTCCAACATTTTGCCATCACCGCACCAACATCGTTGAACTACCACCATCGCTCAACTCACGAATCTCCAACCACGTTACACCACAAATACACCACTACCACCACTAACAACAACCCCCCCCTGATTTTGTACCTCTAGCTCTCTACCACCACCATCGCCGCACCAGCATCATTGAACTACCACCATTGCTCCATCATTACAGAAGCATTTTCCCTTTCTTCCCCTTTCCCCAGCTTTACATTCCCTTCGAAGGAAAGCGACCAAAGAGAAGGATTTCTTAGCTCTTAAAAATGAAAGGCTTTGATTGTCTTTGAACCTGGGAACTTGGGTATAATAATCCGATACGCCATACAGGAAAGTAACCGTTACATCTACGCTTTGCTTAATGAACTGGCATACCCAAGTTCCGGATTCAAACCCAATTGAAGCCATGCATTTTTGAGAGCTAAAAGATCCCTCTTTTTGTCCGCCTTCCTTCAAAGGGGATGTAAAGCTGGTGGTCCCAAGATGTAGGTTTACTCCACGTAAAAGATTCTCAAGCCTAATAGAAGTCTTTGAGCAAACTTTAATTTGCCTGATCCTTCGCCCGACAGATACCTCCTTTCTCTAGCAGATGGTGAAAGGAGCGTAGCGGAATTTGCATGCTCATGCGGTAGAGCTGGTCGCTACGGAAAACAAGGCGTATTTCAATTCATATGAATTAACATTTGATTCGAGGTGTGACTCATGCGTTCAATTTGTGACGCGTGCGTTCAAAGCGTGACGCTTGCGTTCAATGCGTGACACATGTTTTCAATGTGTGACGCATGCGTTCAATGTATGACGCGTGACTTCAATTCGTGACGCTTGCGTTCAATGCGTGACGCTTGTTTTCTATTTATGACGGGTGCGTTCAATGTGTGACGTTTGCGTTTGATGCGTGACGCTTGTTTTCAATGTGTGACGCATGCGCGGACAGGCGCGTCTCGGCTTCCCGCTGCTGCGCGTGGTGAGCCGCTTGACGGCGCTGCTGGCGGAGGCGGGGCTGGCCGAGCGCTGGATGCGGCTGACGGCGATGCGCGCGGCCCTCGAGTCGCTCTCCGCCCCCACCACCGCCGCCTCCTTCTCCGCCGCCCGCCCGCGCCGCCTCTCGCCGCAGCACCTGCTCGCCGCGCTCTGCCTGCTGGCGCTGGGGCTCGCCCTCGCCGCCTTCGCCTTCGCCTTCGAGCTCCTCTGCAGCAGGTGGAGCTCCGCCAGGCGACGTCTTGCGGACAGAAACGCCCGCTGGAACAGACCGAGATTTTAATAAATGTCTCGAATGGTCTGTATTGTCAATTCATGAGAAATCAAAATTTTCAGGTAATTTAGAAATGGGGTGATTAAATAATCCGGTAACATAAACTTTGATAATTCAAACTCTGATAATTCAAACTGATAATTCGAACTCTGATAATTCGAACTCTGATAATTCGAACTCTGATAATTCAAACTCTGATAATTCAAACTCTGATAATTCAAACTCTGAAAATTCGAACTTTGATAATACGGACAGATAATTTGAACTCTGCTAAATTGGACTCTGATCATTTGACATCTAAAATTGGAAATTTTAAGGTAGTATTTAAAATCTAGAATCTAGAATTCAACTCAGAAGGCATCAATTTTTGTTCCAAAAAATTTCAAAAAATCGGCTTCATGGCATTAGGTTTTTATACATGTTTAAAATTATTTGTTTAATTTCTGTTTATGATATCAATAATATGAATTACATTGTTAGCGCTCATCGAATTAACATTATTAGAAAATGTGTCAGTAAACATATTTTTATGAAAAATGTTATTATTTTTGTAGGTTACGAAATTTCTATAATTGATTAGTACGTTTGCTAAAACATTTCAAGACTGCATCTTAGGTTGAATAATTGTACTAATGATTAATTATAACAACCATATTTCAATGCAGCATCCCAGAGATTCGCATTAAAAAACATAACACTCTTGTCTGGATGTGTCACAAGTGATCAAGTTATGTTACCGTATTATATTAATGGAGATTCTACTTCTAGGCTAATTTAATGATATGAGAAATGAATTAATTCATTTTAAATAAACCAGAGAACAAACATTCCATGACTTTTATTAATATATTATTTTTGTAATGTCTGTCAAAGCTCTTTCTACCAAACTGCAAAAAATACAAAATATTTAACCCTTGTGAAATAATAAATAATAATAGTGTTAAAATATATTAGAAATCGAGAATAACAAAGAAAAATAACACCACATGAAATTGGCACTACAGACGTCAATATTTTTAAAAAAATTGAATAAAATAAAGTTTTATGAGAAGTATCGGCAAAGTTTTGTTTTCATTGTTATGATTAGATTATTATGAATGCACGTTGTCATAGAGTCATGCATGCTAGTTGTCATGCTTTTCAATTTTGTCTAAGTTCTGATTGAGACAACTGAAGTAAACTTTCAATAAAATATTTGCCAAATCAATGAATATTAAATACCGTGCTCCTGATTTCTTTTTCCATATTGTTGTATATTGTTAATAATACTTTATTTTAAAATAAATGTTTAGTATGTGTATAAATAGAATTACAGAAAAAATGCATATAATTTACAGAAACTCTCAAGTATCTACAATTATTATCATCATGTAAATGATTTCTCCATTGGAAAGATAAGTTTTGTTTTAATTCACTACATTTCTATTGATATTCAATTCATTGATTAAGAAGATGAGCGCGCCATGAAAATTTGAAAGCGAATAAATGCAAACTCCTTGCAAACGTTTTGCTATGTAATTTCCTTGGCGAACAGCCCCCCCCACTCGTTTGAAAGCTCAGTGCCTAACGGACGTCTGAATCCTTAGCAGGTGAGTGAATGTACAACTATTTAGATAAACATACGAGTGTGAAACAGTTTCTCAGTTTCCCGTGCATAAGTGTTTACCTGTGAAGTGTTTGATAGAAGCATCAACGAGTTCAACACTGATTTCACAGCCTTGAAATTCCTTACGATTTCCTTCCTCGAATGAAAATGTATCCAGATAATCTCGTTGGCAGTGGCTCTCTTCAAATCGTACGTAATCCATGAGATTAGTTTCTTATGTGTAACAATTGATCTTAAAAAGTTGTCTGTGGAAATGTACTTCGTTACTGCTCTTACAAATATTAAATATTGAACCAAATACTTGAACTTACTGGAATGTTAGCTCCGTGGCATTTGCAAACAATATTGTTGCACGATTTGTCGGCCTATTTTTATCTTGAATTAATTAAGATGATATTGTTATTGACATTTAGGAACCTCAAATTACAATAAATTATTTTGTAAAAGCCGTATGATGTTAACTTTATGATTAACTTAAAGCACCGGAAATATGACTGAAATGAAAGTTTTCTTTGGAATGTACATATATGCACAATCTATAGGACTTTATCTTATGCACAGGTAAACCTAATGATTAAGAATATTTGATTACTTATCAACTGTCCGAACTTTTGCATTTCACAACCATGAGCATGGAATTCTCGTTGACGCAACCATCCCCGCCCAAGTTGTGAGCGATCTAATGACATATGTAAAGTAGTTAATTGGACCAATAAGTTGTATACTTGAGGTCAAGTAGTAGTAGATAGAAGTATTCGTTTTGAAGTACACATTTCGAAAATTCTGCCCTAGTTCACATATCAGATGACTACTGCATCTGTTCTCGCGCCATGTGAATAATTCATTCGTATTACATATCATTTATGTGAAACTCAAGTGCACGCCGAGAATCGGTTTAATTAACTTGTCGTGGAGTACAGGCTTGTAGATAGGGACTATTGCATTGACTACATTTTATCTGTGTAACTGGGAGGAGCTCCAAAATATAAAACAAAATAGAAAATATGCACAACACAATATAGCATAACAGTGACGTTTATTATACATTTACATTTACAACTTTGCAATTATCCATGCTTCGTGATTTGTTTGAACATGATTTTCGGAAACCAATCTTTCACGGTTTCACTAATCTGGTACAAATGGGTCTCCATTCTCATTCAAATTTGAATTAAACTTTACGTTCACTACCCCCTGTAGGCATTGCCTTCATTCACAACTGAATCAATTTTTCTCCTCTGAATAGTGACCGTTCATTCAAAGCGCGCTTCAACTCCTGGAGAGTATCGCTCTTATCTGTGACCCTGGTGGGCTTATTCTTTATCCTGTCCTCATTCACAAATTGACTACCGACCCCTCCTGATCGGTGAATGATCGCGACGAACGACTGTCGAGAGAAGTGGAAGAAGAGAAATCAGTGGTTTAATTTACAGACACTAGACGTCTTGCACAGTATGAAACACCTTAGCTTATACCGCGTCAAACTACCAACATCGAGTTGCGAATGCGCAGGGGTTGAAAAGTGGTACATGCTAAGAAGCTTTATGCTGTTCAAAAATTTTCTAATGGCACCTTTAATAATTTCGTATGATTATACTATTCCTCAATGCGACTACTTTATTAGTGTGCCGCGATCGTGGAAAATTCTACTCGGCCGACGGGCCGTCACTCGCCGGAAAACTTTAATAAACTTGGCTAAACTTGAATAAGCTAAACGGCTTAACTCCCCTGCGGACGGGAGTGTTTCAAGGTCTCACCGTGCAAATGCATGCTTTCCACTCTTGCTCAGTAGCCGGTCTTGTAAGGCTTGTTCGAGTTAATTTCAAACGGTAAGTGTTCGTGTATGACGAACATAAAATGTCACACAGCTATGTGTGTATCGTACTCTGGTGCCTTTCTTCTAAATGTTCACAAAATAAAGAGCGTAATTTACTGTCATTTTAATAGGACTAGGCAACCGCACACATTGCTTCAGTTTCCTTATGTGTTTACATGCCGTGTATGAAGACAAAATTGTCACTCGTGGTTTGTGGCCTGCACACTTCTCTTATCTGTCTCCATGCAATTTCTTTCTTTTAGGTTTTCTGAAAGTTCGCACATACACGAAAAATCCCCACAACGAAGAAAAAGTACGGCACAATAATCAGAAACAGATATCTGCAATTCCACAGAACATTCTTTACCGAGGATCCAGACCTTACTGAATGGTTAGGCGGAAAAGCAGACCCTATGGCCTGAGCCTCGCCATGAATACTTCATTATTATTATTATTATATAATATATTATTATTATTATTATTATTATTATACATTATCACAGTATCTATTCTGGTCGTATGTCAACCACACACAGGAATGCATGACCAGGTGTGTGGTTGCTTTTACTTGCAAGTTTCAGACGGCTTCTGACCCATACGGCATGTATTCAAAATTACACACTTTGCATATTTATATACCATTTCTGGCATCCATGCTGAGACACTCCAGTGCCAGACAGTGTCATTTTTGTGGCGATCCACTCTGTAGCTGATATTATTATAGGCACAGTGTGCACCTCTCTTCCTCACACTGAGATGCGACTTCATGCGGCGAGACGATCATACTTTTGGATTCTTCTCGTTCGATATTTCCGATATGTTGTGCGGTATTAGCGTATTTGATTTATTATCGTTTATTCGTTTCTCTTATTATTATTATCTGAGTTATTATTATTTTATATTATTTTATTATTTTATTGTTAGCCCTTAGATGTTAAGAATGTATCAGACCAGCCATGACGACTGCACGCAGTCAACATCTACAATAAAAGTTAAATACAATTTAAACGTTCCGGTAGTGAAAAGCCACCTTCCTTTTCCGACTGATTGGTTATACATCGACCTCTCTCTCTGGATTATCTCCGGCTCTCTCGCGTTCGCGCAGGCCAAACTGTCGCCCGGCCGCCCCGACATTTAGAAAAAATGGTGGCGCCACTGTAGCCATAAAAATGTTACGACTACTAGCATCGGTTGTGCGATACTATTATCAATCTTCCTGTAAACTATGCTAGGGCAGTTTGGGGAAATTTCTGGAAATACTTGTAGAAGAATTAGTTGTTTCCGGATCTAGACCTGCTTTCTCGCTAATATGGATCTGTTTGTTTTATTTAAACATATATATTTTCAAGAATACAAAACATTGTGCGGAATTTAAATAATTTTAATTTTTGTTTCTTTAGAAATATTCAAACTTTGCGAATCCACCTGAAAACTGTGTATGGGCGATAATCTACCATGGCTAAAGGCTCCGTTTTCTAGGATGTAAAAGTATTCCCTCAGCATTTAAATGTTTATCACAATAGATATTCGCGTGATTTGATACACCCTACACTCTTGCCTGATCGGCGTGTGTCTGTGTTCAATTGGTTGTATGCCTGATTAAAAGACTTGTCGTCTTCTAATACTCAGGTGAACGCGGGATGTTTTGCACTGTCACATCGATGGGATACAACGTGGACTGGCTGCCAGTTTGAAATCAGGACGGTAGTTCGACGGAAAGAAAAGTAAATCTAATTAATGAGTGATATATTGTTGTTATCGTACATCTGCTGCAGTTGCCGTTATGACTATCTTTCATCTTGCGATCGGCAGAGTTTGCATTTATTGCTTCCTCCCCATTTATCATGATTTGTGAATTTGTTCTGCTGCAGTATAAATATGTATACTTTTTCATGTACTGCAACAAAAATGGCCAAGGCCTGTCTTAAATGTGAATGGAGTCTTGTTCTTTAGTACGAATTACGATAAAACAATAATAAACCAAAGATACAGAAACCAACTCCAAAAATCTATTTTTTGGCAAAAAAAAAAAAAAAAAAACTACAGCTTATTGCAGCACATCCTCTATACGGCCACTATCTATGAACAAAAACATCGCAAACGTTTCTAGAATGTTGTTTAAATTCGTTTAAAAGGTTTGCTAGGAAATTGGGTGACAGAAGGCTCATTTAATTAATTTAAAATGTTATATGTTACTGCACTCGTCTGCTACATAGTATCTAAAATTTCATGATCATATTTTAATTAGAATAACGCAGAATTTGAAAATGTTAAAGCAAAATAGTTTAATCGTTAAAAATGTAATTGCAAGAGACAAAAGTTAACGTCAAAATACTCTCTATTGCAAATCATTTTTTCTATAGTGTTAGATAGAAGTTATTTATTTAGTTAAAAAGAATCTGGCTTCATTAAGTTAAAGAGAATTAATTTACAATTCTCTTTTCATAAAACTATGACGCTTCTAGCAAAAAAATTTGGTGAGAGTCTTATTCTCGCGTATGTCGTATGTGTAAAATAGTTTCAATGAAATCGGCTGAAAATGTAATGATTTGGACGATAAAGTTTGCGTGAAATACACGGTAAGCGAGTGATAATAATATATATTCAAGCAACCAACCAAATGCTATATATTTTCTTTCCAGAGCCACGCCGCCGACAGTCAGCGTGGCATCTGCGCGCCCTCTCTGTACGCTGGAGGTCGTTCACATCGGTCTTTCACCCCACCACCCCCACTCAACAGCCAAAATTGCATCATCCCTCCGCTCTGACGACAGCGAAGGTAACGACGTTTACCCTGCGCGACGCCGCACCGTCCCTTACAAGGGGGAGTTCACTATCATGAGGGGGCAATTTCTCCCTCCTCACCGCTCTCCTCGCCAACTCCACTGTATCCGCACTCCGACTCAAACTCTCCGCCCTCCACCTCCGCCACCACCGCTGCTTGCCGCCTGCATTCCGCCACGCGTCACCGCCCGCGCTGCCACCAACACTGCCGCCCTCGCCCACCCGCCACCCCCTGCCGCTCCTCCGCCACCCCACGCCCCCGCCACCCCGCCGCCCCCGTCGGCCTCACCGCCCTCGCCGCCCCGCCGCCGCCGCCCTCGCCGCCGCCCTCGCGCCGCCCTCGCGCCGCCCTCGCACGCCGCCCTCGCCGCCGCCCTCGCGCCGCCCTCCGCCGCCGCCCGCCCCGCCTCTCGCCGCCGCGCTCGCCGCCGCGGCTCGCCGCCCCCTCGCGCGCCCCGCCGGGCCGCCCTCGCCGGCCGCCCTTCCCGCCGCCCTCGCCGCCGCCCTCGCGCCGCCCTCGCCGCGCCCTCGCCGCCGGCCTCGCCGCGCGCCTCGCCGCACCCTCGCCGCGCCCACGCGCCGCCCTCGC